AATCCAGGATGATCTCCACTCAAGATCCTTGATTTAGTCACCTCTGCAAAACACTTTCTTGACACTTGTCACATCACAGGATCCAGGGCCTGAGGCCTGAACTCTTTGGGAGCATATCCAGCCCACCACGCTGGGTGGTGATGGGAATTATGCCACCGAGTGAGGGGCCAGCCAGGACAGACGGGTGCTGGGGTTCAGGGGTGTCTCCCCGCCCAGTCCCAAAGTGGGGATGGGCCCCCGGAGGGTGCATGAAGTGAGAGTAGGACCAGAAGAAGGGCACCAGAGTAGCCAAGCCGAGTGTGGATTGGGACCCACTTCCCCGGTGCTGGCGGCCTGTAGACCCCCATGCGAAGGGTCTGGGCTGACCCTCAGAGGCCTCCAAGGAGGGCAGCTTGAGTAGGCAAACAGAGACACAGTACCCCAGGCAGATCTGGATTTCAGATAAACAGTGGATAATTTTTTAACATAAATATGTCCCATACACTATGTACACTGAAAAAGTATTTACTGCTTACCTGAGATTCACACTTGTTGGTGTGTTTTATCTGGTGGCCCTACCCAAGGAAACTGGGTGCCCCCTGCCGCTCTCCCGAGCTGCGGCTCGTCCTGGGCCCCCGGGGCCAACCTGCTGTGACCCTGCCAGCTGCCTGTCCCAGGAAGCTGTCCTTTTACACTTGGCCCAGTTAGAATTGGGGTCAAGCCAGAGAAACCTGTCAGCTTGAGACAGGGTAAGAATGAATCCAGCACCCGGCTGGGGTCAAAGGAAGCCCCCCAGTGTGGTCCCTGAGGGGACCCTCACCCTCTGGTCCAAGCGGCTGTTGTGGTCCAGATGCCAAGGGTGGGGGGATTTCAGCCATACTGCCCCCCACCCCCCGCAGGTGAGCGTGTTCCTGGGGTGGGGGACACAGATCATTCCAGGCTCATGGACTCTCAGGACAGACAGTGTGAGGACAGAGGTGGGAGCACTTCTCCACTCCCACCGGAGTCTGAGGAAGATGGGGGTCCCCGCCACGGTGGAGGGTGGGGCTTCTCAGAGGGTCTCGGAGGGGGCCTTGGGCCGCCTTCAGGGATGGAGTGATTAAGGCAGCCCCAGGAAGGTGCAGCTCCTAGTCTGTTGCCTGGCAGGGCACTGGGCCTCTCTGCATCCCCGTGCCTTGTTCAGGTTGGGGTTCCCCAGGGCAGAGGAGGAGAAATCCGGACCTCACTCTCGGGGACGTGCAGTACCTCCAGGTGTCCACGTGGGGGCAGCACATGCAGCACCTTTCCCAGGATTTTTCTGCTGACCTCGGAGGGGGTGGCTCCCCCACCAGCAGCCCCCTGCAGAGCTGGGGTGGGCAGGGGCCTGGGTCTCTGGGCTGTTCCGGGAGTCAAACACACTCAGCGGGAGGGGCTTCAGGGGGAGGGTGGGCACTGGCCACACCTTGGGACTGGCAGCGGGAGGGGAGGGCTGGGTGGGATGGCAGAGGCCCAGCGTCACACTCTGGGTGTCGGTTCTCAAACCCTCGCAGGGTCAGACACCACTAAGGTGGTAGCCATAGACTTGGTGCGCCAGAAAGGAAAGCAGAAATATTTAAAACTCAAGGTTACACAGCGCAGTCGTCACACATCGCATGGCTCTGAAAACCCCACTGTACGAGGCGGGACGGGCGGGACAAAGCCAAGGCCTTGGCGTTACTGGGAGAACAGTCTGATCTTGAGGGCCTTCTGGAGGGCTCTCGGTCCCCGGGGTGCCTGGATCTAACTCTGAGAGCCTCTGATCTGGGCAGTAGTGCAGACGGTGAGGGCGCTGGTTCCTGCTCCGCTCCACCCACTGCCAGCGGGGACAAAGCAGATGGTGGGTGGAGGAACCCCCTGCGGTCAGGTGCTCAAAGGGCTTGTGCAGCTGCCTCCTGGCCTGCCTCCGCTGCTGTCCAGCTCCCGGCCCGGCCATTGGAGTCCGGGCTGAGGCTGTGCGGTGAGTGGAGGGCGTGGGGGGCCCTCCCTTTGGTCTGGTGGTGGGTGGGGCAGGGGAGCAGGGTAGGGGGCGGGGTCCACTGGGCCTTGGGGTTGGGGTGTCAGCTTCAGAGGCGGAGGGTGGGTGGACAGGGTGGGTGGCACCACAGCCCTGACAGGGCACCCTGGGGTGCAGGCGGGGGTACAGCCCTAGGGCCAGGACCCGAGCGGGGGGCACAGACCAGTGCTCACACTGGGCTTGGATGCCGGGGCTGCTGCGCAGGACGTGGGGACCACAAGGCTGGTGCCGGAGCCCAGGCTGGGCGATTGCCCCCTGAAGCTGAGGCCCGGGGCTGGGTCTTCCACCCTCTGCTGGGCTGGGGAATAATTGAAAGCAAGATCTGCCAGGACCCAACTGGCAGCTTCAATCTGCACTTTGGGTACCTCCGAAAAATTCATGAGTCCTTGGGGCTGCAGGGTCCTGCTGAGCTGGCCAAATCTGATCTGTCTCCTGCCCTTGTCTCCCCAGGGCTCCCGGTGTCCTCCCCTCAAGACAGGAAGCACCTTCCCTCCCTCCCCCAGGGACCTGGGTGACCCTGGTGGTGACAGTCCTGTGTCTGGACGGCGGCCTCAGACCCCAGGGCTTCCAAGGGAGTGACCGCCCCTGTGGGGGGCTGTGGGTGTGTCTCCTTCTGGGTGCCCTGGTACGTCTCGGAGTGGGACCATGGGTGTGCCAGCTTATACGAGTGCCCCTGGTGTGTGTATCTAGCCGTGCACACCTGTGTGAGTGTGACCTGGGTGTGGAGCTGTGCACGTCTGCGTGTGGCTGTGTGGAGTGTGGGGAGAACATGGTGGGGGTACTGGAGCCCACGGGAGCCAGGGCAGCGAATGTGTGCAGGTGAGTGCGCATGCGTGCATCCCGTGCGTGCTTGAGGGAGCACGCATGTGCACGCACACGTGTGCACGAGTGTGAGTGTGTGTGCGCCCGCACAAGCTGTGTCCCGGCTGTAGCTGCACTGCTGGCTGGCTGGCTGGAGTCAGGATTGAGCGCAGGGCGCCGTGGGTGGCTGGACTCAGGCAGCGCTGGGGAGCTTTCCTGGTCCTGCGCCCGTGCGGGGAGGAGCCGGCTGGGGGGCTGTGCTGGCTGCTCGTGACTTCACTGGGGTGGGTCTGGGTGGGCTGGGGAGGAGCGGAGCTTGGTGTCCAGAGGAGCTGCTTCCATTCCTGGCGTCTCTTTGGGGGTCGGCTGGGGAGGGCGAGGGCCGCTCAGACATGGGCTCGTGGCTGGGAGCCCGGCCAAATCAGCTGCCAGTGCAGAGGTCCAATCAGCCGCACACCGGGGGCTGGGCCTGGGTTGTGGGCCCAGTGGGGCCGGAAGCAGGGGTGGGGGAGGCGAGAGCTCCCAGGCCCTGCCTGTTCCGTGTCCGCCCCAGGCGGAGTGGGTGGACCTGGAGGGGTCAGTGGGGCAGGGACCAGATCATTCTCTCTGGACCGTCTCTGTGAAGATGCTTGGTGAAGTGGCCCCAGGCTCTGAAGCCACCTTCTTGTCAGGGATGCTGGCAGCTCTGTGGGGCATAGGGGCCGTGGCTGGGCT